GGGAGAGGGAGAAGCAGGCTTCCTGCCGAGCAGGGAGCCCGATGTGAGACTCGATCCCAGGACCCTGGGATCATGACCTGAGCCGAAGGCAGACGCTTAACGACTGAGCCACCCAGGCGCCCTTTCCTTTTCTTTTTTTTAAGATTTTCTTTATTTATTTGAGAGAGAGAGAGAGAGATAGCAAGAGAGAAGCACAAGCAGGGAGGAGAGGGAGAAGCAGGCTCCCCGCTGAGGAGAGAGCCCCATATGGGGCTCAATCCCAGGACCCTAAGATCATGACCCGAGCCGAAGGCAGCCGCTTAACTGACTGAGCCACCCAGGCGCCCCTACATGGGGGTTTTCTAAGTCATTTATATTATTTCAGTTTTCTGACATTTGATGATCTGTTTATATAAATATTCTATGTGTTCTTGAACATGTATTCAACTGCTTGACTGTTGAGTACTGCATTCTGTACATGTCAATTCATTCAGCTTATTATATTGGTGGCATTCAAATCTTCTATAGCCTCACTGATTTTTTTTCCTGCTTGTTCTATAAGTTTCTGGGAGAAGTATGTTAAAGTCTCCTACCATGTATATTTGTCTACTTCTTCTTTTCATTCTGCCAAGTTTTGCTTTATATGTTTTTAAACTGTTAGTGTACACACATCCAGATTTTTATATCTTCCTGTTGAATTGAGCTTTTTATAATATTAATGTGTTCCTGTTGTCTCTAATAATGTTTTTCTTCTTAAAGTCTACTTTGTCTGAAATTAATATAGTTATACATGTTGGTTAGTGCTCACATGATAGTCATGTGACAAGGATGATTGTCATTTTATCCCTGTGTCTCTTAATATATTTTCTATATGTTCTATACTTTTTTCCCCGCTCTGTACTTAAATTTCAATATTTTGTATTGAATTAATCTTTTTTTTTTTTAATTTGTGTCCAGGGCGCCTGGGTGGCTCAGTAGGTTAAGCATCTACCTTTGGCTCAGGTCATGATCTCAGGGTCCTGGGATCGAGCCCCACATCCGGCTCCCTGTTCAGGAGGGAGTGCGCTTCTCCCTCTGCCTCTGTCGCTCCTCCCCACTCATGCTCTTGCTCTCTTTCTCATACTCTCACTCAAATAAATAAACAAAAATCTCTTAAAAATTTTTGTGTCCAATCTGTTGTTAATGCACTGTTAGCATTGAGCTCCTAATTCCATGTTTTTTTTTTTAAGATTTTATTTATTTATTTGAGAGAGAGAGAATGAGAGAGAGAGCACATGAGAGGGGGGAGGGTCAGAGGGAGAAGCAGACTCCCTGCCGAGCAGGGAGCCCGATGCGGGACTCGATCCAGGGACTCCAGGACCATGACCTGAGCCGAAGGCAGTCGCTTAACCAACTGAGCCACCCAGGCGCCCTCCTAATTCCATGTTTTATCGTTGCCATTTCTCTGGGGAAATCCTTAATCTTGTCTTTTATATCCTTAAATGTAGTTATTTAAAGTCTGTGGTCTGACAGTTTCATAATCTGGAGGTCCTATGGGGGTCTCTTTCTTCTATTTGTGCTTTCTCTTGGGCTTTGTTTATGTTGTATTACTGCCTTGTTTGCTCGGTTATTTTATTTATTTAATTATTTTTGAAGATTTTATTTATTTATTTGACAGAGAGAGACACAGCGAGAGAGGGAACACAAGCAGGGAGAGTGGGAGAGGGAGAAGCAGGCTTCCCGCCGAGCAGGGAGCCCGATGAGGGGCTTGATCCCAGGACCCTGGGACCATGACCTGAGCCGAAGGCAGATGCTTAACGACTGAGCCCCCCGGGCGCCCCTGGCTCGGTTAGTTTAAAGTTAACCTTTGGAAAGTGTGTTGAAAATTGTTAAAAATAATTGTTAGAAATAATCTGAGGCCCAGGATACCAGCATTCTGGAACTAATTTAATCCCATTTGATTGAAAGTGATGATTTGAAGCTGGGCCACTGGGCTTGTTAGGGCTGGCTTATTTCTCCTTTTACTCCCAGGGTGAGGACCCATTGCCAAGGGCGGTTCACCAGCATGCCCCGGCCCCAGCCACATAAGGATGTCAAAAGCACTACGTGGCCTCTCGGCCACTTCTTTCAGGACTGGCAAACATCTTGAGGGGGAAAGCACCTCCAAATGCCAGGTTCCTCGGTCTCTAGGCCTGCATTTCTTCCCTGCTTGTGATGCCTTTAAGTGGATATTTTCTCTTTATCTGGCTCGTCTAGAGGTCTGTGGGAAATCTGATCCGAATGATTTCATTTCCCATTACAGGGATGTCTGATTTACATTTTGCCAGATAATTTTGTTAAGACGGAAGGGGTAAGGCAGATGCGGGGGACCAAGTAGGAGACCGTTGCAATAACCCAGTGAGAGACGCTGGTGGCTTGGATCTGGGGATGAAAGAAAGTGACCAACCAAGAGTGACTCCAACGTTCATGGCCTGAGCAAAAAGGTGAATGGTTGTGTCCTTTTCTAAGGTAGTGAAGGTAGGAAGGGAGCCATTTGGGGGGGCAGAGTTGGGAAGGAAGTGCAGTTTCGGTCATGTTAAGAGTGAAATGCCTCAAATAAAAACTTAAAGAAACAAACAAACCCAAGCCAATCCAAAAAAAAAAAAAAGAAATGCCTCTTAGACACCCAGAGGAGTCATCTTGTGAATGGCTGGGGATGTGTCTGGAGTTTAGGCGAGAGGCCTGAGCTGGAGATAAAACTTGGGGGTCATCAGTGTGGAGGTTGCATTTTAAGCTCTGAGCCTAGATCAGCTCATCTGGGAGAAGATATAGGTGTACAAGGATGGAGGACTGAGTGCGAGGCCCCCAACAGCATGAGGCCAGGGAGGTAGGGGGAAACGAGAGCACGGTGGGTGGTGATGGTGGGAGCATGTCTTCTGGAAGCAGAGTGCAGAGAGCACTTCCAGAGGCAGGGAACAATGGGTCAGACGAGATGAGGCTTTTGTGATGGGAATTCTTTTTTTTAATTATTTTCCAGTTTGTCTTTTGTTTTTGTTGGTGGTGTTTTAATCTTATGAAGCATCTGTGTTTCTCTCTGTCTGGATGTGACCGTCTTTGTTGGGTCATGCTGCTGGCTTCGGCCCGTTTCCTTGTTCCAACATTGCATGTATCCACGCTGTAGCCATGTGTGCCCACGGGTGGGCCCAGAGCAGGGGCATGTGGCTCAGGGGAGGCTGTGAGCCCAGGGTGGAGTGGTCAGGCTGAGGTGCCCGAGCCGAGGGAGGCCCTGTGGGGTCAGAGGTCTTGTGGGGTGCGGGAGGGCCACCAGTTCCACTCCCTCTTTGGGCCTTGGTTTCCCCTTCTGTAACTGGTTTAAATGCTTGCTTCCTTGAAGTGCTGGGGAGGATTCCTGAGTGTGCAGGAAGAGGCAGCTGGGCAGGGCTGTGCCCTGGGAACAGGGTCATTTCCTCGACACAGACCAGTCTGACTAGCACCTTGGAGCTAAAAGGCCCACCCCTTGGTGCCCACAGACAAGTGGGAGACTGAGACCAGAGAATATTCCTGCAGACGCTGGGGCCCCAGGAGGGGCTGGAGAACTCATTAGCCCAAGCCCCTGGTGGCAGAGCAAGATCCTGGGGTCACCTGAAAAGGTCCAGTTTTAAAAGGGTTGGGACCTGTTGTAGCCCCACTGGGATGTGGATTGGGGGCTGCCTAAGCTGGGCTCCTGGACTGCTGGGAGGCACTGGGGGTCTGGCCCAGGCAAATGAGCCAGGGCTGCTGGGAGGGGCTAGGGAATCATGGCGGCAAAAGCCCAGCACAGACTGAGAAGTACCTTCCATAAGGCAAGGGGCAGGGTAAATGGTATTACAATTTGCAATCTGTAGAGGGCTCTGGACCTGTGAGCAGCTGGACTTGAGGGGGCAGCCCAATGTGGTCTCTGACCAGAGTTCGGTGGCAGCAGGTGGTCAGCCACCTGTCACCATTCCCTGGTAAATGCCAGCCAAGCAAGCCCATGTTGGGAGGCTGGGGCTGGGGAGCCAGGCCTCTTATTCTGTGCTGTGTCCCCTAGAGTCATCCTCCAGCAGCATGGCTCACCTGTGGATGCCACCATTGCGGCTCTGGTCTGCACCGGAGTCGTCAACCCTCAGAGCATGGGCCTGGGCGGAGGGGTCATCTTCACCATCTACAATGCAACCACAGGTGAGTTCATACCAGGGACCCCATGGGGAGGACGGGCATGTCCACAAGCACTAAGAGTGAGGTGCTTACAAACATCTTAAGTGTTTGCCGAGCTGTCCTGTGCACCCATGGCCCTTCTTGGGTCCTCTTGGTGCCCCCCACTTCTTCTACCTTGTTTGGGCAAAGCCACCGCAACCTATCTCAAATAGAAGCATTGTCAGGGAGGAAGAAATTCTTCTGCCCTTCAAGGTCCTTCTAGCTGGACTAAGGATTAAATTGACATGAGATAAATTAACAGGACAAAATCGAATTTAATTTCCCATGTATGGGGAATCCACACAGACATGGAAATCCCAAAGACAGACAAAATGAGCTAAGGAGAAGGGGGTAGGGGTCTGGGACTTCAAAGGGAAGGAATGCAATTCACGGGAAGATAAAGAAGAGTAAACTGTTTGCGGGGCCACTGGGCAACAATGGGACACAGAGGACTTTTACCAAAGGCCTTGCAACGTCCCTCCCTGTCGCCCCTTACTAGTTCATATCCTACTGTAGTTATCTATGGTGATGGCTTTCTTCCTGGAGCAGGTCCTCTGTCTAGATTCTTTCAGGCAGCAGTAGGGGGGAGGTAAAAAGCTCTTCTGGATTCTTTTGGGTCTTAATTGCTTTTAACTCAAAAATAATCTTCAAGCCAAAGTGGCCTATCTTTGGGTGGCCCGCTCTTGGCCCCTACAGCACAGAGGCCAGTTCAAAGTACAAAGAGAGAAGCTGAGGCCTAGAGCAGGGCCAGGGCCCTATGAGGGGGGACTATGGTGTGGGGTGAGGACTGGCAGCCCCAGGAATGCCCCTGAGCACTCACATGCCCTGCCCCAACTCTAGGGAAGGTGGAAGTCATCAATGCCAGGGAGACAGTGCCTGCCAACTACATCCCGGGCCTACTGGACCAGTGTGAACGGGCCCAGCCACTGGGCACAGGTGAGGCCCTTGGAGGGGCCACCCTCTCTCATCCCACCAGGCCACTGGGGTGGATCAGAACCCTCCTGCGAAGGGGCTTTGTGGACAGGCTGTGCAGCTATCGAATGGGGATCCCCCAGGGAGGTCCTGACCCGCCGGAGTTGGGGGAGTCTTCCTGGGACAGGGCTGAGTCGGGAGTGGTGATCCAAGCAGAGGGACCAGCCTGGCAAAGGCCTGGAAGGTTCAGTGGAGATGGGGTGTTGGGTGGGGTAGGGGGTCCCGGGGCCTGTTTGTGCTGGGCCCTGATGGAAGGCAGTGGGGAGCCACGGGGCGATGGGGGGGGAGGGTTGAGCAGGGAGGGACCAAGTCAGGTGTGGGCTCCAGAAAGCTCATTCTGGCTGCCATGCCAGGGGGACCAAGTGGGTGGGCGAGTGTGGGGGTGGTGGAGAACCCCTGCGGAAGGCTAGGGGGCTGAGGGCAGGGACATGACACCACTGTGCCTTGCAGGGGCCCAGTGGATTGCAGTGCCGGGGGAGCTCCGTGGCTATGCCGAGGCCCACCGCCGCCACGGCCGCCTGCCCTGGGCACGGCTCTTCTGGCCGACCGTCTCCTTGCTCCGAGGGGACTACCGCATGCCCTCCATCCTCAGTCAGTTCCTGCAGAACGACTTCCTGCGGCCTTCCTTGTACAAGACATCCCTGAGGTGAGCACGTCCCCAAGGCGTCCCCGGGCCCCCGCTCAGCTCCTGGGTTCAGGCTATGGCCTGTCTGCCTGGCTCCCACCCCAGTCCCACCTCAGCCCCTCCTTGAACCGGAGTAGGGTTGACCCTGTGCAGGTGTTGGGGGCCCGAAGGCCAGGAAGGCCAGTACTTTGCTGTCTCGGTTGCCAGCACTTTGAGCGAGGTGGCAGAATAATCAGAGGGGCTCAGGCCAGAAGGGGTTTATATCCCAGTGATGGGACTCCAGGATGTGGATTTGGGCTCCGCCACCACCCTCTTGTCCCGCCCTTCTCCACTCCCCAAGCCCGTGTCAGGCCACTGACCCTGTCTTCCCAGGGGTGTCCCAGGCCCGAGGAGGGAGCGTGCCCTCCCCCAGCCAGGGTGATGAGTGAGGTGAGAGGCTTCAGCCTCCCAATCTTAGAGGAACTGTCTCCCCTGCTGTCTACACCAGCCCCTCAGGACCCCAGACCAGGACTGCCTCCCTGAAGGGTCCCAAGGAACCCACAAGAGCCCCTGCAGGAGTGTGGCTGCCTCCTGGGGCCCCGCTCCACCCTGAGGCTGCCCCCACCTCCCCAGGCAGCTCTTTTTCAACGGCACAGAGCCCCTGAGGGCTCAGGACCCATTCCCCTGGCCCGCACTGGCCGCCACCCTGGAAACCGTGGCCACGGAGGGTGCAGAGGCCTTCTACACAGGGACGCTGGGCCAGACGCTGCTGGAGGACATTGCCAATCAAGGTCAGCTGCGCTGAGGCCCCAGAGCCCCCAGCCCTGCCAGAGAAAGAGTTGGGCTCTGGGTGCTAGGGGTGAGGGCAGGCCCTTCCCCAAGCCCTGCCGGAATGTCAGCTGCTCCCAGGACTTGGGGAGGCCAGGCGTCCAGGCCTGCCCACTGCTGGCCTCAAGGACCCTGTGGTTGGGGCCCTCGAGGAGCAGAGCCCCCCATAAATTAGGGAGCTAGTGGTGGCCATAGGGGGTCACAGTGGGCTCCTGGGCCTGGAGCTGGCCACCCTCACGATCTGTCAGAGTGTGACTGACACTCTCTCACCTTCCTGTCCTCTTCCCACCAACCTGCTCGCCTCTGGCCTCTGTCCACCCATCCCTCGCCTGGCTCTAGGGTCCAGCCCGGACGGCACTGCCCGCAGACCCTCCATCACCCCTAGGGCTCTCAGAGGCTAGTTGGTGTGGGGAGCCCCAGCACGTGACCCGGGATCAGGGGCTGTCACTCTGCCTGTTTTCCCGTCCGTACATGGGGTCTCTTCTGTCTCGCCTCAGGCAGCAGGCTGACCCCGCAGGACCTGGCCTCCTTCCAGCCGGAGGTAGTGGATGCCCTGGAGATGCCCCTGGGGGACTACACCCTGTACTCACCGCCACCACCTGCAGGGGGCGCGATTCTCAGCCTCATCCTCAACGTGCTCAAAGGTAAGACTCCCGGTGCTCCCACCCAGAGTCCTGCCCCACTGGGAGCTCCGGGCCCGGCTGTCGCTTTGGGCCGCCTTCCTTTTCCGGCTCAGCCCCTCCTCGGACACCAAAGATGGGGCTGTGGAAACGGGTCAAGACATTGTGTCCTAGAGCTGGCCTCTGGCGCAGTCCACGCTGGGGCTTCACTGAAGGGTCGGAGGTCGTCCATCCGGCCAGTCCGGCCCCGCAGGTGGGCTCGGAAGGTGGTGAGCGGCCTGGTCAGCGTGTGCATCCAGGGCTGAGGCCTGGCCTGTGGGATGGCGAGGGGGGTTCCCGGCTGTGCCCAGGGTTGGGGCTGCCCGCAGCTAGCCTGTGTCACTTCCCTGTGACTCCCGTGACAGAGTACCACAAACTTGAGGCTTAAAGCAACAGAAATCTATTTTCTCCTAGTTCTGGAGGCCAGGTGTCCAAAATCAAGGTGTCAACTGATCCATGTCTCCTCTGGGGACTCTGGGGGACAATCTGTTCTTTGTCTCATCTAGCTCTTGGTGGCCGCGAGCGCTCCCAGGCTGCAGCTGCATCCCCGTCTCTGCCTCCTGCTCACTCTCACAGCCTCGCCCTCTTCTCTGTGCGTCTGCTTTATAAGATTACATTTAATTGTGTGATTACATTTAGAACCCACCGGGATAATCCAGGATAATCTGCTCTTCTCAAGATCCTTAACTTAATCACACATTTTGCCATATAAGGTAAAATTCACTCTTTCGCCATTTAAGGTAGTATTCACAGGTTCTGGGGATTAGGACACGGACAAGTCTTTTTTGAGGGGGGCCAACATTCCACCCACGACCTGCGCCCGTCCCCTCCCCAGGGTTCAACTTCTCCTCGGAGTCAGTGGCCAGGTCCGAGGGGAGTGTGAACTTGTACCATCACCTTGTGGAGACGCTCAAGTTTGCCGGGGGACAGAGGTGGCGGCTGTGGGACCCCCGCAGCCACCTGGATATCCAGGTGAGGCGGCTTGTGGCCGCTGGAGACCCCCCTTCCCGGCCCCTGGGCTCAGCATGAAGGGAAGGTGAGGCTGTCCCTGGACCCCGAGAGTCTGCCTGGGTGAGGTTGGAGGGGTGTGTATGGAGTTTTAGGACAGGACAGCCTGGCAGGGAGGGTGAGGCGGGTCTGGGGGTAGCCTGGGCTCGAGCGGCACACACTGGGGAGGGCCTCCCAAGGGACCCTCTTCTCTGTGGGCCCCCCCGGCCCCTCACTGACCTGCCACCTGCCCGGCCACCCCAGAACGCCTCCCAGGACCTGCTGGGCGAGGCTTTGGCCCAGCATATCCGCCAGCAGATCGACGCTCGGGGTGACCACCAGCTCAGCCACTATAGCCTGGCCAGGGCCTGGGGCCACAAGACGGGCACGTCGCATGTGTCTGTGTTGGGGGAGGACGGAAGCGCTGTGGCAGCTACCAGCACCATCAACACGCCGTATGTGCCTGCCTGGCCCCGGGCCCTGCCCCTTTGCCCCCTCAGCTGGTTTGTCGAGCCCCCGGTGTCCCCTTGCTTGTGTCCATGGGGCAATACCTTGCTTTTCCCTTTGCTTCTTCCCCGCTGTCGGAGGGGCCATCCACCTCTGGCTTCTCCGGCTGGGAGGCTGCTGATGGGTGGCCCGGAGCCAGGACCTGCTTGGGCATGAGCTTTACCCAGAAGGACACCCTGATGGGGGGCACAGGTGCATCTTTGGGGGCGAGTGGCGGCTCCGGCGTGCTAGCAGGCTGTCGCGAACACGAGGGGCTCGGGCACCCGTGCCGGGCCGGGAGCCCAGACTCCGCCTCTGCCCGCAGCTTTGGAGCAATGCTGTACTCCCCACGCACGGGCGTCCTGCTCAACAACGAGCTTCTGGACTTATGCTGGAGGCGCCCCCCGGGCTCCAAGGTCACCCCCCAACCCGGTGAGCCTGAGGGCCCCAGTGGGGAGAAGGGGGAAGGCGGGCAGCCCCTGGGCCAGCCCCAGTGTGCACAGCGGTGAATGGACACACAGACGGAGGGGGGTTCCGGAGGGTGCTGGCTGAAAGTGAGGCCGCAGGTGACACTTGTCCGGCCTCCAGTTCCAGGTGAGCGGCCTCCATCATCCATGGCTCCCTCCATCTTGGTCAACACAGCCCAGGGGTCAAAGCTGGTGATCGGTGGGGCTGGTGGGGAGCTCATCATCTCTGCCGTGGCCCAGGTGAGTCAGGGAGCTCCTGGCTGGAACTTCTGCTCTCCCAGGGCCAGGGATGGGTTGGCGTACGGTGGCCCTGGGAGAGCGGTAGTTCCAGCCAGGAACTGGTGGGTCCACCACCCAGGGCTGGTGACCCCTCCTTCCCCTCCTGTGTTCTCCTTCTCTCCCCCAGGCCATCATAAACAAGCTGTGGCTTGGCTTTGACCTGAGAACTGCCATTGCAGCCCCTATCCTGCATGTCAACAGCAAGGGCCATGTGGAGTACGAGCCCAACTTCAGCCAGGTAAGGCCGCTGTCCCCGCCACCACCGAGACAGATGCCTCAGTGCATGCTGCTCAAAGCCCCCCGTGGGATCTCAGCCCCTGAGTGTCTTAGGCTGGGCGCACTTCCCCTGCTGGGGCCATCGGCAGGTCAGAAGCTCAGTGGGGAAGGCACCAGGCCAGTCTTGTGGCCTCCAAGGCAGAAAACCGGGTGTCGTCCATGCTTCTCCCAGGCCAAGCAGCTCTGCACGTTGGTCTCCGCTCTGTTCTGTTCCCTCTGGGCGCTAGTGTTCCTGGCTGTGGCCTCTCGGACTCTCTCTCATGATGATCTGTTTCCTTGTATGACTTGTGGCTTTTCTGTGTGAAGTTTAGTTGTAAGAGTATTATTCTGTGACAGTCTGCATAGCGATTTCCTTCTGAGGCGTGGGGGTCACATTAGTGCTGGTGCTTACGAACATTTCTTGCTTCCCCCCACACGAGCAGGTCCCCAGAGCTAGATTCCCTCATCCAGACTGCTGCCCAGCAGATAGTCACCTCCCGCAGAGCTCCTCTGGGCGGGCAGACACCCTTTGCTAAGGTCTAATTTAAAAGTCTGGCAGCTTTTGGGGCGCCTGGGTGTCTCAGTTAGTTAAGCACCTGCCTTCGGCTCGGGTCAGGATCCCAGGGTCCTGGGATCGAGTCCCACAACCGGCTCCCTGCTCAGCAAGGAGTCTGCTTCTCCCTCTCCATCCACCTCTCCCCTGCTTATGCTTTCTCTCTCTCTCTCTCTCACTTGCTCTCGCTCAAATAAATAAATAAAATCTTAAAAAAAAAAAAAAAAAGCCTGGCAGCTTTTGAAGGCTCTGAGCTTCCTGCCTGGGGTCCGTTCAGCCAGCTGGGGTTTAAGGTCCTCAAAGCTGCCTTGTCCATGGTGAGGTGCTCTTGGTGTCAAGGCTTCCTCCCATGGCGCTTAGAGCGCTGAGGACCATAGCGTGAGGAACTTTACTCCAAGGGAGTGTGTAGTCCCTGAGAACCTTGGCCTTGGGGGCTGGAGACTAAGGACTCTCGGAGTCTGAGGCGCTCCCTCCCTATATAGGGTACTCCCCAGGGTGTCCTCAGATCCAGGCCAGAAATGATCTTGCATCTCAAGCTCCCTCTGGCCTGGGTGATGTCCTCCCTGCCATGCTCCCTGGGGCCCGGCTTCTCCACTGGGACTTTTTGTGGGAGGCCACAGACTCCAGGCCCTCCAGACGAGGCTACACCCAGTGCCCTCCCATCCTCACCGCCACTGATGCCCAGTCCTGCCTTCTCAGTCGGGACTCAGATCTCTGCCCGGAGCCCCGTCCCCTGGACAGGTGGAGCTAAGCTGTCTTCACCTGTGTACTGGCCTTCTCTCCCCTCCAGGAGGTGCAGAAGGGGCTCCGGGCCAGGGGCCACAACGAGACCAAGAGTCCCTTTTTCCTGAATGTGGTCCAGGCTGTGTCCCAGGACGGGGTCTGTGTGTATGCCGCAGCAGACCCGAGGAAAGGTGGGGAGGCCTCGGGCTACTGAGGACACTGCCCCTGAGAGCTGCAATCCGGCCCACCATCAGTGTGTGCCCAGGCTGGCCTTGACCGTGGGACCAAGCACTCAGGCAGGATCTGGACCCTTTGGCGGAGGGTCGGCCTGGGGCTACAAGAGGTGGGGACAGCCTGGAAGATGGACAACTGTGGGGGCTGAGCCCTCTCCCAGAGCCCCTTGTGGCCCTGCCCTGACCCCCAAGCCTTCCCTAGGCCTGTCACCCAAGACTGTGGCCTACCCTCCCCCCAGGCTCCACTCCCCATCTGTATACCCTCTAGTCCAAGATTAAAGAGGAGGGTGGATCTCAGCCTGATTTGGGGTCTAGTTGTGGGAAGGCGCCCTTAGAAAGCACACACACGGAGTTCCTAAGTCCTCCACAACACCCCAGCAGGGAGGTGCGGAAACTGAGACCTAGCGACAGGCCGGCCTTGCCCAGGCCACCCCTGCTGGGCCTCCGCAGTATGGCTGTCTGGGGCCTGCCTTTTGGTGGGAAGGCAGGGCTGTGGCCAGGGGCACCTGGCCCTGGCTCTTGCCAGGCCTTAGGACCATCTCTGGATCTTGCGCTCTGTGCCAGGAAAAGGTTGGATGAAATAGGACCCCGCCCCAGTCCCCAGCCCCAACAATTGCCCATGTTCTCACGCTCAGCACTGTTGACATTTTGAGTGAAATAGTCTTGCTGGGAGCTGTCCCGCCATTGCCGTGTGTTGAGCAGCATCTGGCTTCCACTTGCTAGACGTGACAGCTCCGACCACCACCACCACCAGTGGCCAAATCATCCCGAGTTGAGAACGGCTCTCCCGGACCCATTAGCCCCCAGTTGCTGAGATGGCTTTGCCAGTTGCTGGGGGGACTGCCCTCCCTGAGGGTGCCTCGCTGGACTGGCCTGGGGGTCCTGCCCCACACTGGTTCCTGGGAGCATTGGGTGTTACCCCAGCGTCCTGCAGGGGCATACCTCCACCTGGCAGGGTCTGAGGCCTGGTTCCACTGCTGGAGCCATGGCCTCCCACCCTGCTCTTCCTGTTTGGCCAAGCAGGACGGGAGTGGCTGTTATTCCCCTGTGGCTGCTGAGACCAAATACCACGGAGTGCATTCAAACTACAGAAATCTACGCTCTCACAGGCTAGGAGTCTGAAATCAGTATCACCGGGCTAAAAGCAAGGTGTAAGCAGGGCTGAGTTCCCTCTGGGGGCTCTAGGGAGACTCCTTCCTGCCTCTGCCCGTTTCTGGTGGCTGCTGGGGTCCCTTGCTTTGTGGCCACATCACTCCAGCTCCTCCCTCTTGGTCATGTGGCCTTCTCCTTTGCATGTGAAGGCTCCTTCTGCTCTGCACGGGTCTGGGTGGAGAAGGTGCCCCCAAAAAGGGGGTAAGGACACCTGTGGGCATCTAGGTCCCATTCAGATAACCCAGGATACTCTCTTGTTTCAAGATCCTTAACTCAGTGGCAAAGTCACTTCTGCCATATAAGGTAATATTCACAAGTGCTGGGGATTGGGACGGGGACCTGATGTCAACCACACATTGGGAGAGGGGGCTGGATGGGGCAGATCTCTGATCTGAGCTTGCCTGCGCGGGTGTGTGTTGAGGGGTATTCTGACAGACTCCAAGAGAAACGACTGGGGACAGGGGTGGCTGACTTTGAGAAGGGGGACAGGCTTGCCATGGTCACTGTGCTCCATGGTGACCTCAGGGCCACTCACTGCTGCACTCAGGCAGCCTGGAGGTCACAGCTCTCTCAGAGTCTGACTTTGGGAGGGAGTGGGAAGAGGACTTCTGGGAAGGGCAGGTCTAGTTCAAGAGTCAGGGGTGCAGAAAAAGCGGGCTTAGACAAGCAGGAGTGGGAGGGCAGTTTCTGACCTGGTGGGGTCCAGAGTCTGGCCCTGTGCTATCAGGAGCGTCCGTAGTGTGGCCTCCCCCTAGGGGAGGCGCCTTGGCCGCTATCCTGATGACTCTAGCACATCGCTCACTGAACTGCACAGCCAGCGGGGGTGACAGAGCTCCCCTCCACGCTGCTTTTGAGGCTTAACAAAAGTCTCAGGTGCAGCTCTCATGGGCCCAGCGGGTCCCTCCCTGAGGCCGTTACCCCTCATGAGCTGATGGGTCCCCACCCCGGCTCTGTCCCAGGTTTCTGGATCATCAGACCCCACACCCACACACCAACCGGGGCCACAGGCACTTCAGACTCAACACACCAAACTGGAAGCCAGCTCTGAGGCAACCAGAGGCTCTCTGGTGTCCACCTCTCCCACTCTGGGCACCCAGTCCTCTCTCTCCCTCTGCGTGGCTCAGCCCTGGCTCCCTCTCCTTATCCCTCTCCACCTCCTTGCTGCTGCCCCGGCCTCCATCCACTCCCCACTCATGACAATGATGGGCCTTGGAAAACGCATACCTGATCCACGAGGCAGCACGGAGCTCTCCTTGGTTCCTGGTGCCCCTGGAGGAACCCCATTCCTCTCCCTCTCTGCTCATCCCACCCTCAGAGACTTGCCCAGCCCGTGCCCACATCCCACCCAGACCACCAGCAACGCCAGTGATGCCCAGTCAGGGACTCTTACAGCTGGCTCTTTGAACGTCTGGTTACACAGGGGCAATCAGACCCAGGGCTGCAGTATCTTCAAAATCACAGTACAGATCAACCCCTACTGCAGGGGTTTTCAAAGGAAAATTCATTGCCTTAAACAATTGCATTAATAATAAGAATCAAAATGAATAAAGCATCTAAGTGAAAGTTAGTGAAGGAACAGTCAGAGCAATCAGGAAAGCAGGAGGAAAGGCTCAGTAACAACAGCAGAGATTGATAAATCTGAAATCAGAAAAACAGATCTTTGAAAAAAAATAGGTTTTCAACAGCTTACAGTACAAATGAAGAAATGACAACGGGGAAATGAGTTAAGATGTAGAGGAAGTTAAAAGATCATTCATCCAAATAAATTTGGCTAGTTCAATAAAATAAATTACTTTTTAAGACAATGTAAGTAGGGTTGCAATATGTGAGACTTACACTGAAAATATTGTTGTTTATCTGAAATTCAGATTTAATTGGGCATCCTATATTTTTGGTTGCTAAATCTGGCAACCTTAAATATAAATGACAGATCCAAGAAAGGGCAAAGATCTAGATGTGACAACAATCATCAGAAAAAATTAAGAACATTGCAGGAACACTAGCTTACCTCAAACACCTTTCTAGAAAGTTCCTCAGGTGAAGTGTGTCCTGCCAGCTAAGCCCCAACAGTGAGGAGCAAGAAGGAAAATGTCCACACTCACTTTATGAAGCCAGCAAAAGACTGACCCCAAACCTGCCAAAGCAAACCACGGACCGGTCGTGTTTATGAAACTCAACGCGAAGTTCCTAAAAACTATTAGCAAGGAGATTCTAGCAACGCATGAAAACATGACATGTCCCACCTCCCCCAGTGGGGTGGACACCAGCGCTGCAAGGAAGGTCTTCTCTCGGTGTGTCCATGAGCGTGACTCTTACCTCTTATTTTTCACCCTGAGGAGAAAAGGTTTATCTCCACAGAGAATGAAGGAGCATTTGAGAAAATTCAATAACACCCATTCTTTTTTTTTTTTTTTTAAGATTTTATTTATTTATTTGAGAGAGAGAACATGAACGGGGGAGGGGGAAGAGGGAGAAGCAGGCTTCCCTGCCGAGCAGGGAGCCTGGGGTCATGACCTGAGCCAAAGGAAGGCAGAGGCTTAATGACTGAGCCCTCCAGGCGCCCCTCAACACCCATTCTTGATAAAAACGGACAAAAAAGAAAGAAAGAAACCCACCAAAAAACCACTGAATAGAAGGGGAATGAATGGATACTCCTTTAATATGAATATATGCCCCAAGGCGACAATAGCAACCTCTCTGGGCATTGACTGTGGGCTGGGTACTAGTCTATTGCTTTACGTGTATTAACTCAATTCATATAATTCTCCTTAATGAAGTGGAGCTATGATTATCCCAGTTTTACAGACGAGGATCCTGAAGTCACAATGGACCAAGGGTCATGCAGAATAAATGCCAGAAGTGAACGCCTGATACACTGATGGAGAAAATGAATCTTGAACCCTACCTCACACCGAATATAAAAATAATTTAAGATGATCTTAGGAGAGGCGCCTGGGGAGCTCAGTTGGTTAAGCCTCTGCCTTTGGCTCAGGTCATGATCTCAGGATCCTGGGATCAAGCCCCTGGTCAGGATTCCTGCTCAGCAGGGAGTCCACTTCTCCCTCTCCCCACCATCCCCCCTCATGCTCTCTTGCTCTCTCAAATAAATAAAAAAAAAATTTTTAAATCAATAAACAAATCCATCCAAATTTGTTTTAAAACAAATTATAAACATACAGTTGTTAAAGCATATGAATAAACCTAAGAAATCATGGGGCACCTGGGTGGCTCAGTTGCTAAGCATCTGGCTCAGGTCATGATCCCGGGGTCCTGGGATGGAACCCCACATCGGGCTCCTTGCTCGGCAGGAAGCCTGCTTCTGCCTTTCCCACTCCCCCTGCTTGTGTTCCCTCTCTCACTGTGTCTCTCTCTGTCAGATAAATAAAATCTTAAAAAACAAAACAAAACAAAGTTTTGGGCAGCCACCTAGGAAAATAATGAAGTGGGATCCCTACCTCTTTATTTACACCAAAATAAATTCCAGTTGGGTCAAGATGGAAGTGTTAAAAGTGAAACCATATAGATCTATTAAAAAAAACAAACCAAAACAAAACCTCGCAAGGAAGTTTTATTTATATTTTTAGAGTGGGGAAAGCCTTTTCAGGCATGACATAAAAACAGGAAGTAAAAGAAAAAAAAACACATATATTTGAACACATAAAAAGTAAAAATTTTGATGTGGAAAACTTCTTTAAAGACTGACAAACATTTGCAACAGTGTGGCTGGAACTAGAGTGTAGTATGCGAATCGAAATCAGTCAGAGGAAGACAAATACCATATGATTTCACTCATATGTGGAATTTAAGAAACGAGACAAACAAGCAAAGAAAACAAGAGAGGAACCAAAAAACAGACTCTTAACTATAGAGAACAAAGTGGTAGTAACCAGAGGAGAGGTGGCGGGGGGAGGGGAGATGGGTAAACTAGGTGATGGGAATTAAAAAGTACATTTACCATGATGAGCACTGAGTAATGTACAGAATTGTTGAGTCATGATATTGTACGTCTGAAACTAATATAATAGTGTATGTTAGTTATGCTGGAATTAAAGAAAAATCTTAAAAATAAATCGTAAAGGCCAATGAAAAATTTGGGGAAAATACTTTCAGTACATAATATGATATGGAGTTGGTCTCTTTAATATTTAAAT